CGGAATCTTTAAAATTCTTTAAGAATCGAAAAATCTACTAGAATCGGCTGATTTATCGTGATTTTACATGACATTATATGATCTGCAGAGGTCACACCTTTTTTGCAAACCGCTATAAGTAATAATATGACTTTGCCCATCTCTAGTTTTAGCTATCGGGTATCGGATGTTTATGCTTTGACTGTGAATTAGTATCTCCGCTTCGTTTCGAACAATCATATCATGTGATCTGAAATAATTTGGGTGGCGAATTTTACCCGGTTGTAAACATCACCAGTGATTTCTAAAATTCATGATCGATAACTTGAGTTATTTACATCGTCACCGTTATTGGATGCTACGCAGCCAATAACTTGTTTATCTGGTAGCGAATTTAATATGCGGGCCCTTTCTGGTCCTAAAGCTGACACATTAAATTTCACAACCAAATAATGAATTACTTTACATAATAATATATATATTTTAATACTATATTTAATATAGTATTAAAATATATATATATATGTAATATATATATATATACAGTATGGTATATATATATTATATATATATATTGTGTAAATTATAATTCAATAAAAATCGTTCTCTAAATGATATATATTTATTACAGTAAATACAGTAAATAAGTTTATATAATTCCAAATTTATTAGATACTATATATAATACAGCATTATAAGTATGTAAATTTAAACTATTTAAAATAAGAATAAAGTAAAAGACGCAATTATGTGTGTGCGTGAGTACGTACGTATGTGCCTGCCTGAAGTACGTACACCCATCTATTATACGTATACTTCGAAATACGTGAATCAGGCAAAGTTATATTAACATGTGATTATCTCGAAAAATAGACTTATTTTCAGTACATTAAATGAACTGCTGAATAGAAAGAATGAATCATGTGAGAATCAACATAATTTTAACATATCTGCTAGAATAGTATTCTAATAATCTCAGTGTAAAAGGCCTCTTTTTGTGGAAGTTGATTTCTTAAATGTATCCGTGCTTACTACTTAAACATCACCTATATTGTATTGATAAAAAGCAAGAAGTTAATTAACTATAGTATAATTGATTTGTGACTATTACAAATCTGGTAAACAATGAAACTTTATAAAAAAAAACAATGAAAATAATTCGTTCATTAAGAAAAAAAAAATTGAACCATAACGCATCATACAATATATATATATAATTCAGCCATAACCATAAATTAGCACCTTGAAATCCACATAAGGATTTCAAAGAGGTGATAAATTTTTAAAAGTTTTATTAGTGGTTAGAACGAAATTACGATATTAAAAAGTTTATTCGGGATCGAATCGAGAAGATACTATATTTGGAACGGATGAAAAGTAAGATGGGTATATCCAATTCTTTACTTCTTTAGGAGCGCAAAATTATGCAAAGTTATATAAGTAAACATAAAAAAAACATTGTTTTTATCATGCAATAGGAAATTAAAAATTATCAGTATAGCAGCATGTCTTGTGTGTATAAGAGTAGTTATGGTAGTAAGTGCACATGAGGTTGAATAATTGATTAATAAAACATTATAAAGTAAATATAATTAATGGAACAAAAAGTATAATTAAATTTTGACGTTGGTACTTTTTTTGATAGGTCAAAAAAAAACCAACTATTTTTCACTCATCCGGTAGTTTGTAATACTATTTTAGGCTCTGTAACTTTAGGCTCTGCGGCTAATTTAATTTTTTAATTAAAGTTGACATATAAGGAAATATGTGTTAGGTTTTTTTTTTGCAAGTTTTTCTCGCATTTCTGAATATAGGTTCAAAGGGTCTTGGAAGAAAAGCTGTGCTGAATTGAATTATGCATTCATTAAAAGCTGATCAGACTGATGTTAAGAAAATTATAATAAAGAGAATATATTTACACGCGAAACTTATGCATTTGAAAATGTATTTATATGCACATATATCAGTTTTTTTTTTTCTTTGTCACTTTTTATTCCTCCTCCTTATAATATATCTCATTCATTCTTTTAAACACACTCTTTTGAGTAATATAACTGAGATAAAATGGCTATCACTAAATCCACATTAATTTTTTTAACGGCACTCTTCATTATCCAGGTTTGAATTTTGTGATTAATTTTATGTTTAAAAACTCGATTAGTGTTCACTGATCATATTTAGTTTATTATAGATCGTTAATGTTCGTGGTGGCAGCATATTCTCTGGTACCGGCGAAGTTCCGCCATATGGCGGTATATGGTATGCGTGTAGTAACTTTAACACAACTTATATAAGTAAGTTTTCTAATTTACACATTAGACGCACTATAAACATACATATTCTAAGTGCATTACTCAAAAAGAATTTGCACCTAAAGAGAATAAATATGCTATTACATTTAGATAACTTTTGAGCAAATAATCGAACTAAAAATATTTTATAATGATATATAGGTTTCAGTCTACGCGTTTCCAACACATCGTTAGATGTAACGCCCAATTTCCTCGGCACAGTCGTACCTGGACAATCGCCACGCAACATGTCTAAATACATTCCCGCCCTTATAGCTTATGAAATGACTGCCGGCAACGTAACACTTTTTGCCTCCAACGTTTCTAATACGAGCTTCCAATACATCCCTTCGTTGTCTTGCTATGAAATGCCAGTTCAATCTTGTGATCAGGATGTTGGTGATTTACCATTAGACGATGATCTTCCTCAATGTTTGGCGTTACAAAATCCAACCGCACAACCAGTATACTTCAATTTAAGTATTAGTTGGGTTAAAAGTGTGTTTGTCACCAATTTCACGAGTCCTGATGTTCCAGGTGGACATGAAGCTTTAAAGAACATTGCAGTTTCTAACAAACAAGTTTATGGATTTACACAAGTCTTGATTTGTACTTTTATGGTCCTTGTTTTTAGTAAATTTTTGCATTAGCGTTAGCACAGCACTACAGCACTAGGCTTTTCTGATTATATATGTATATTACTTTTTTTGTAATTATTTGTTTTATTTGTACAATATATCTCATTTAGGCAAGCGTCATTATTCAGATTAAAAAAAAAAAGAAGATATATACATATCAGAAAATACTTGTTGAGCACGTTTAAACACCGATCAATTGTTTGCTCTATATATACATACGATAGCGATAATAGCGATAGAAAAAGTTCATACATAAATTATAAATTAAATAAAATTACATACATACATACATATACATATCAAAGTTATAGGACATCACATACTCTCGCTCAGAAATTGCGTTGAATCATAGTTGTTAGAATAATTTTTACTTATCATAATATTATATAATATGAATTTATCAATGGTAAAAAATTGTGAATTAGATTTAATCGCTTTAATCGCAAAGATGATGTAGCAATTCACAACCAGTTCTTATAAATCATCTTTTTCTGGCATTTGGTAAACATTATAATATATTTGTAACTGAGATGCTATTCATGGTTAACTTTACAGTACGCCCAAAGGTACTATAATCATATCGGAGATTAATTTGTAGATCTTTAAAGCCTTATCTTCCTCATGTTTCCTAGTCATTGTGGCTTATTAGTCCTTTTTCAACCTGGTTTAGAATTCCCTGAAATTAGCTAATCACGAGTGAAACATATTGTTGTCCACTCTGACATTTTAATTCACCGAAAAAAGATAATTCATGCATCGTCAAAAATAGCTAATGTATTTTATCCTGAGTTTTCTATTTTAAATAAAAGCCATCGAAATTTTGCTAATATATACTTCTTTTACATTCCTTGGATCATCTCTTTCGTTCCTCGGATCTAAAGATATAATATATTAGATTGTTATTCAAAACTCAGAATCGATTTTTCTTAGAATCTATATTATTATTTTTCACAGGAAAAAAAAACAAAAAACAAAATGTCATCTGATAAAGAAAAGTCTCTATCACATACAGCCATTCCAATATTTTGTCACGAAACTTCTCAAATTTCTACTTTAGAACCACAGATACCACCATCGTCAAAGTCTAAATTCTTTTTTCTATTTACAAAAGAATTCGCTTTTATCCTTTTCTGGGGTCAATTTCTTTCATTGTGCTTCACGGGTTCAATTGTCATTGTCACCGCTTTAACAATTAATTATCATATCAGTTTACCTGCAACTTTGAGTTTTTTTATGTATACAACTTTGACTCTTATTTGTACACCTATTACAATTTATAAAAATGGTATACGTGCGTACTTGAGAATGCTTAGAATTCGAGGATGGAAATGTAAGATAATTCTTTACTTGTTAAAAAAAGAAAAGTTTGATATGTACAATCACGTGACATGTTCTTCTCCTTTTAGATTTTTTGCTTTCGTTTGTAGACGTAGAAGCAAATTATTTTGGAATAAAAGCTTATGCTTATACATCTATTCTATCTACCATTTTACTTGATGCTTGGGCAATTCCAGTATGCGTGATATTATCAATATTCTTTTTACACATAAAATATCATTGGTCTCAATATTTAGGTGTGGGAATTTGTTTGGCTGGAATTGGTGTCTTGATTGAGGCTGATTTTCAAAGTGGAAAAGATATGTATTATGGTGAGTTTTAATAATTAAATAAATTTATATATTTTCAATTTTCTTTTAACAAATTATATATTCTAATTTTTATTTAAATACTAATTTTTTTTTAAAAAAGCGGTGGATCCGATAAAGGGTGATATACTTTGTTTAATAAGTGCAACATTTTTCGGAATATCTAATATTATTGAAGAGTACTATGTGAAAAAACGACCTGCTTATGAAGTATTGGGACAAATGGGATTTTGGGGAATGATTGTTAGCGGAATTCAAACGTAAGATCAAAAGTTATCGTGAATTTTGTGTGTTGTTAATACTGTATTTCCATTATTTCCATTAATAACTTCTTTTTTTTTTTTTTTTTGAAGAGCAATCTTAGAACGATCCGAATTGACAAATGCTGCATGGACTGGACCTTCAAGTATTTATCAATCTTGAATGTCAATTCCGAATTATAATTTAAAATTTTTACTTTTTATTTCTAACTCTATATCAAATTTACAAATAGTTAGCCTCGCTATCTCTTTTGTTGTAACTACCGTAATAGCATATGTGGGACTTCCGTTACTGTTCCGGTTATCCTCTGCAACGTTTTTTAATCTTTCATTCCTTACAAGTGATTTTTACACTTTGATATTTAGTTGGTTCTTATTTAAAACTGTGGTATGCATTTAAAAATTTCTTTGATTCATCTAAATATATATACCTACAGTATATATATATATATATATATATATATATATATTTAATTGTATTTTTTTTAAAAAATAAATAGATGCACGTGCTATATCCATTAGCAGCAGTCTGCACTATATTGGGTCTTTTGGTATTTTATATTTATCCAGCGACTCAACCAGTTGTTAAATGCGATGACGAAGACAGTATAGAACAAGTTGTTTCAGATGAAGAAACGGCAGCGACAAATACTTCTGAATCGGTGGTCAGAGCATTAAATCGTTCTGTATAAATATTTATTATAGAAAAAGTTATTATGATTTTCCTAATTGTATGTAATGATTTTCCCAATTACAGAATTGTATGTATTTAAATACTTTCTTGTTTTTAAAGTTTGTTAAGAAATATCTTGGATTTTATTTATAAAAATTTAAACATGGTCTTAGTTAATATCATGTGTTTATTTACAGTTTAGTACTTTTGATCACTGTTACGTACGTACGTACTGTAACTGAATTCCATATCAGTCGATCGAGATGTCACGCAGATCATGTGAATAAATTTTTTATTATGAAATTTGAGTGATCGACGCTTATATGAAATTTTCGATTTTCATAGTAAATTGCAACGGTTGGCCATTTTCAATCACTATTTGCAGGGGATCCTAAAAGGAAACTGCGTTCTGAACAACTTGAAATGATTCTGCAAAATAAGTTACTTTGTTATTTTTGCGTTTAAAGCGAGAAAAATAATAAACTCCAAAAGAATCTTGTTCTCAAAGATGGTGTTTTGTTTCATATTCTATAGTAAGTAAAGTTCTTATGACGAACTAAGTTATTTGTAAGCTTTTATTTCTGCACTGAGTCGAAAGCTTTTAAACCTTACAAGAATATTAACGTTAAGACTAGACCTATTTTTAGTTTAGTTTATATTGGAATGCAGGTTATAATCGTAAGTAATCTTTGTTTAGCTTTTTTACATTAATTTAGAAGTACAAATCTTATACACCTGTTATTTTACATTTAACTCTCTATAGATTGCGTTATCAGGAAAAAGTGCACTTGTAGAACGTGTACTTATAGTGTTTTAGCCTTAACCAAATAATGTTTATAAATTACATTAGACCGATCAAATGCACAATTATAAGAGAGTATACTGATAAAGGGTTAATTGTATTTATAAGCATTCAAAATTTTTTATTTACTTATTTTCTTAATAAAATTAATTTATTAAATTTATAACATGTCTAAATATAAAATTTACATCATAATTGCAAGTGCAAACAATATAAGTGGCGGCCCATTTTAACCCACTTAATCTCAAATTCGAATCATCTATGTCTTTAATTTGATTATATTTTACGAATGCTAAAACTTCCTTAATTATATTAAAAGATTCTTCACCATTATACAATCACTTAATAACCTAGCTATGCTTTATTGACAATCTCCCTTAGTAATAGTTTACATCACACGGTTCTAAAAAAAATAAAAAAACTTATTTATTCTAATATTTAATAAATAAAATTTCTAAAATTCCTATATAAAGCTTTATTCAAAATTATATAATATAAAGTTAAACAAGCTGAAACTTACAGCTTAGCTCTATCTTCTAAATCCAAGTATCGATGTGTAATGCACTTTACCGTATGAATGTTGGATGCCGAAATGAATATAAAATCATGTTATAGCCAATATAAGAAATCAAAAAAAATTCTTAAAAACTATAAAATTCATAAAACTTATAAACCAAAACATTAATAAACAAAATAACTTTCCTTGAGTATATTTACTATAAGCGTGTTATATTTTTGTGCTAAAAAAAGATAAAGATCTAATTAACAAAATTCAAATCTAAATACTATAAAATAGTTTTTCTTGATTTTCTCTGAACTTTTATAACATACCACTCTTTCAAAGATGCATTTTGCTGAAAGTTCTTGCTCATGTGCATCTAATGAGCTATTTTCCATGTCAAGATCTTAAAAACTCCAAAAGAATCATGTGAGAGAAGGCAAAATAATTGCTTCTCTTTGAAGAGGTCCCACATTACTAGGTGACGTTAGTTTTTCACATTCTTTATACCGTTCGATTCGTTGAAGCCCTAAAAACTTATTTGTCTTAGAGAACGTTATGTGTTATAACTAAGACTTTAGGAGAAAATTTTAAAAACGTGATTTCGTCGATTTGTATAATTTATGAAAATCATGATAAAAAATTAGGTGTGACATCTTGATCGACTGTTATGGCGCTATGCTTTGCGCCATTTAAAAATATGATTATTATATAATATTATAATTTAAATTTTTTTTTTCGTTATAAAAAAATTTAAGTAACTGCATTTTTAAAATTTAGTATTTCAAAAACTTTTGTGCAAATAAATATTATACTGTAAGAATGAGACAATGAAAATTTTTAATTTATAAATTAAGTAATAACCATCAGAACTATTTATTATACAAACTTCGTGCTAATATAAGATAATTTATTTAAAGTTGATTCACTAGCTCACTATCAACAATAAAATAAACATTATTTTGCGTTTGTACAGTACAAAATTACATATTAATCAACTAATGCTAAAACTCCCAAGTATATAAGCAATCATCTCCATTTCTAATCTATTTGTCACCATTTCACGGGTGGTCGACTTTGGTGTCACCATTTGTTGGTGCTTGCTTCGCTGCTACCACTTTCGCTATTATTCGTTTTTTTTTTTAAAAAAAAAAATTTAGTGATATGTTGCATGGACTAAAAACAAAAATGATCAGAAAAAAAAAACTATTTGGGAAATCAGTGCTCATAATCAGGATGCGCCATTGGTCACCAAAATTAAAATTTCAATGAATAATAACGCATTTTTTTTTGAAGTTTCTCGACCGTGGATTATAAAAACGTCTGGCTTTGGATCTACTTGAACAAATACTTCTAAATCTAAACCTTTTCCTTTCGATTAGATTACGTGAGTAGAAAATTGATTCGCCGTTAGCCACCCTGAGAAACAAAATATAGTTATTAGTATATTTATCTAATAAATAATTCTTATAACGTAAATTATTGCACTCAGAATATTCATAACCCATCAGCCGCATGATACTATTCTAAAACTAGGATATCATATAACCATCTGTAAGACGTCATTACTGCAACAAGTATCCACAATCTACAAACCAGCAAGCTGGGCATCATGAATATGTTCAAGCTAGGTAAGCTAAATATGCTAGTTAAGCCATGAAATAAGCGTGTGTTAACTCTTCCACATCAACAATGTTACCTCACTCTTAGCTCGGGCGAACTAAAAGTTCTTCGAATAACAAGCATCCACGGCAACAGAGTAGTATTAAAACATATTCCAAGGATACTACTTTCCAGGTAGGGTTGGGGCATAGAAAAATATTTGGGCATGCCCTTCTTATTGTGCCTGGGGCATGCCTCCTATAGAAAAATCATGTGAACTTTTCATATATAAGTATAGTAATACCCACGTACATTAAAAAGGGGTGACTTAATGGTTTTAAAGCTAAATCTAGCTAAATTTATATACTACAACTTCTAATCTTCTGTTCAAAGACCCTAAAGACTTCAATTTGGTAGGCAAAAAGAGGTGCAGAGAGACTTGGTCTAAGTCTCTAAGTCTTGTTGAGTCTTGCTGCGGTGTATTTGGAGGCTAAGATAAGTATACCTTGGTCTTGTGTTTATAGCAGTATTTGATAAACTTCTAGAAGAAGCTAAAAGTGGTTTCTTGGCTTGAATTTTTAGTGTGCCGGGCTGTAGTATTCTACTTCGATCGTTAAGATCCTT